ATATCTAAGCATTGGACGCTACTCATTGGCATTATGTGAAATTTTCCACCTGATAGCTACACAAAATTTTTTGGACTAAATATTAATTAATAGCATTACACAAGTCCTTTGACTTTTGGTATGCTAATACCAATGGATCAAACAATGCTTTTTAACATTTATCAAAGTTTTGATCAGAATAAAAATTTTCTACCAAAAATAAAAAAAATACATTAGAGAGATATAACAGATATAACAGAAAGACACAGGAGATCGACATACCATGTATTAACTTTTTTATCTAAAATTTGTGAGTAAATTTATCTCTCTAATAAGAAAACATCAATATGCAAAATACTTTACAAAGACACTAAAGAAGTCAACAATTTTTAACAATCAAAGATTACTACATTAATTGATGAGGGAAATAAAAGAATTAGCATGACAATTGAGAGTGCCTCAACAAATGGAGAACGGCATTTAGATGTTAACATTATTTACAACATTTATAACAAGTTATGACTTATGAAAATAGAGGGTGAAGATGTAAACTATAAATTATTATTAACATAATATTGAACTTAAAAAAAAAACCTTTAAATCTTAACATTATTTATAACATTTAATAGTGATGAATAAAGAATATAACAACCACAACAACGTCAAGCTTTTATACCACTACATGAGGTAGACTACATGAATCATTTTTCTCCATTGTACCTTGTTAAGAGTCAAATTCCCATCTAAATCTAAAAAAGAAAGGTCATTAACAAATATTTTCTAATTAAGTCTTTTAAGGTCAACCTCTACCTTTCTTAAAATCAATCAAATTGAATACATCTACTCTCCTAACTGGGCCATTGGAAGTCTGACGATTTATGCGACCAAACCATATAAGGCGACTCTCTTTAGTCTTATCTGCCACTAGAGCTACTCCAACCTTTTCACGTATATGCTCGTTTCGCATTTTACCTCTAAGAGTAAAGCCACTCATCCACCTGAGCATTCTCATATGTGCAACACTTAATTTTATGCTTCACTTTTAATGGCTAACATTATGCGCCATAAAGCATTGCAGGTCTCACCACAATTGTATAAAATTTTCCCTTAAGTGAAGAATAAAGTATGAAAAAAATATTTTTATAAATAAGTCAAATAAATTAAATATAATTAAAATTGCACATGATAATTACATTGAAAAATGATGATGATAATAATATTAAGAAAAAAATTATAATGTCATGCTAGACAAAAAATGCACTGCTAAACAATGCTTCTCTAATTAAATTTTGACATATTAATTAATATAATATAAATAATAATTACTAGTGATTAAAACTTTTCATGAGTTTGCAAATATAACATCAAATATATAACATAAATAGAACAGTAAATAAATAATATAAATAAAATATAAAATAAGTAATAAAAAGGGACAATTAATTTAGCTTTAAATTTATAGATTATCAAATTGACTAGAAAACATGAATACACATAAAAAAATTGGAAACGAATAATATAAAATATCTTTCATTGTAAAATCATACAAAATGCATTTACTATAAGCATATACAAAAAAAGTAATTAGAATTAAGGTGAAGCCAAAGAATACTTTTCTTATTAATCTTTGAAATATAAATTAATATAATGTACATAAAATATCTCTTATTAAAATTATTCATACATTATACAAATATTTCTTATACTAATAGTACAAACTTTTCTCCAACGCAAAAAATAGATAATTTTCAATTAAACCCAGGGGAAAAACATAATTATAAGAAATAAAGTGAAATCAAGAAAGGGTTATCCTAATATTCCTTGTCAATCTTTAGAAAATGGATAATTTCTCCTAAAAAAAGAGTTCTTAATCATACAGAAAAAAAAAAAAAACTTCATATGTTTCTTCAGTATTAAGCACCATCTATAAGAAAAATAAAGTTTGTCCTCGATTTCCTTCATATCGTGCTAGCCAAAGAATACTTTTCTTATTAATCTTTGAAATATAAATCAATATAATGTACATAAAAATATCTCTTATTAAAATTATTCATACATTATACAAATATTTCTTATACTAATAGAACAACCTTTTCTCCAACGCAAAAAATAGATAATTTTCAATTAAACCCAGGGAAAAAACATAATTATAAGAAATAAAGTGAAATCAAGAAAGGGTTATCCTAATATTCCTTGTCAATCTTTAGAAAATGGATAATTTCTCCTAAAAAAAGAGTTCTTAATCATACAGAAAAAAAAAAAAAACTTCATATGTTTCTTCAGTATTAAGCACCATCTATAAGAAAAATAAAGTTTGTCCTCGATTTCCTTCATATCGTGCTAACATCTATCAAGCTTATCCACATCCTATAAAGCAAGTAACATGAGAAAATATCTTATAAACATACAATACAATTTGCCCATGATCTTTAAAATAATATATCATTACTTTATCTCTAAACTTCCCACAAAGAATAATTAGTACCCGCTTTAAACCTTGTTGGTATATTTTAACTTAAGTATTCCTATAGAGAAAAAGCTCTTGTTCAGTGCCTTTTGGGACTGTGTCAGGCATTTGGAAACGAATTTAGCTCCAACATGGCCCAACGCATGCCTGACACTTTAGAAATTGTGTCAAAGTTTCTTAAGTGTGAAACTAAATTCTGCCACTATTCGAACATGGTGGAACACAGTTGGGATATGGCGAGAAAGGTAGATAGGCATAACTAGAACCATGAGCATAGGAATATTTCTCGTATTTCTAACACTTGGTACCATGGCCTTCTACAATCAATCTCATGTCTCCACCCCTTCTTCAAAGAAAAAATGATCATGCGCACCATATGACTGTCCGTGCACTTGTCTGCCATCTCTTCCTCTATTTATATACACAACTCTAGTGGACTTCCACCAATCTGAAGTCAACTATTCAACTTCAAGACTTATAAAAGTAATGAATAAAATGCCTAGTTTATTTATTTTCGCTTTTCTTCTACTAGGTTACATACAAATCTTCATTTCTAAACTCTATTTCCTCAAATAATTGATTTTCCATGTATACTCTATTTCCTCATAAGATAAAGCAAATGTCTTATTAGTAATAGCATTTTTTTTTTTATCATTATAAAGTTTCTTTTGTGAAGCATATATAAATGACATTATAATTCATTTTACCTTTAATAAAAATTATGTATTTTATTTTATTAATATATAAAGTATAACATTGTGTCCATAGCGTAGTGTGTCGTGTCCAACATTTTATATTTAAGAGTAGTGTGTTGTGTCCAACATTTTATAGTTAAGTCGTGTCACAATGTCAGTGTTGTGTCTTATCCATGTGCCTATGTCTGCTTCATATGAGAATACATCTTTAAATAGTACATCTAGAATAAAACATACTATTGAACTTATTCATCTTAATTAAACCAAGAAAATAGAGCTGTATATAAATTGAAAAAAAAAAGCAGGATTAAGTGTTCACACCACTTGAATTGGTATTAAACTCTAAAAAATACATGATGCCAATGCAAGAAACACAAAAAAGAGCAACTTGATGGAAACTTTTAAGGGGGGAAAAGTAAAATAAATCAACCGGTTGAGGTAAAGATATACATAACCAGTAAATAGGGGTAAAGATCCCTTGAATTCATGTTTAGAGAGGGTTCAATATAAGCAACTTTATCCAGCATCGCAAAAAAATAGTTTCCATAACTCAAACCCGTAACCTCTAGGCCACTAGATGCAACCCAAACCATTCTTCCCGCCCTCTAATCTAAGATGAGGACAAATGAATAAAGAAGGGTATTCCCCTTGTGCCAAATTTGACACAAAATTTCCACTACATTGTATTGAAAGGCATGTTTAAACACCAAATGGGTAGCATTCATGACATTACAATTATCCAAACCTCCAAAAGTACCCCAAAAAAAAAAGAATAACACTTGTATTATATATTGCAAATATACACACTTTTTATTTCAGAAAGGAAAGCCGCTTACTACGATTTCAAATCCTCTAATTGGCTTTCCTTGGTTTTAAGAGCATAAAAAAATAATTAGTGCCAAAAAAACAGTGGCAAAATCTTCATGGTCAAAATTTATTAATTTGTAAGAAAGGACTCATGAAAATCGGTTAACATACTCATTTTTGGCATGGTTATCAGTAAGGATAAAAGACTAATTAAAAAAAATGTACATGCGAACATATTGAAGCTCCCATATCAGGTAAGAATCTTCGGCCCATATCGGTTATGAAATACAAAATTACTTATCCTATGCAATAATCTTTTTTTCCCAAATTCTAGAGGATCCAACCAAACTCAACTTACTTCACAAATACATATAGCAACTAAGTATGGAAAATTTTCATGCACGTACCGAAAAAAGTAAAAATTAAATAAAAACAACCTATGATAGAACAAATCCACAATTGAAGACGTATCTAAACATATTTAATCCTTTTAGGTTCAAAAAAAAGGGAAAGGAAAATAAAGAAAAGGAATTTCTATTGGAAGAGAAGCAAAAAAGCGCAGACAAATGACAATAACCAATTATAACTGGTAGTAAGTAAATCCCAAAGAGCGATAACAGAAATTGCCATAAGTCAAGAAACTAAACATAATAATAGTGAATTAACTTGCTAAATCAAACCTTCCTTTGGTCGCCACAGTCCAGCCATCAAACCAGAATAACAAATGAAGTTGCTAAAAGGAAAAAAAAAATCTGATAGAGCTTCATCCAAGCTCCATTCAACTCATAAGCATACCAAAAAATAAGAGAATTATTCCAAATGTGAGATGAATGCCATAATGAACCATCATTTTTTTGGAGTAACAAAAAGGAGGAACAAGGTAGAAACAACAAACATTCCGATCAGATTTATACCACCTTCACAGAGCAAACGTTAATAAACAGTGGAAAAATGAAGAAGAATAGCAACCGTTTAGAAACAGAGAAAACCGAAAATAAACAAGTAGACGCGGAGATAATGAGATAGGAAGGGAAAGGCCGTGTGGGATCTACCTGAAGAAGGCTGGTGGCATAGCTGATGTAGTTGCGAATGAGGCCCTGGGTGGTGATCCGGATCTCGTTCTCGTTAATGGCGGATTCGGGCCTCGGCTTCTCAACTCTCTGGTAACGGTCCATGGCTGCAGATCCCTTGAGGTTAAGATTGAGAAAACGCGATGGTCGAGGAGCTTTCTAGGAAGAGGGGGGAGCCCGTCAGGTCGTCGAGGCCGCTCTAAAACCCTAGATGGAAGGAGGAGCCGAAGCGTGCAGAGATGCGCTAAAACCTCAGCGGCTAAGAACGAATCTTCCTATTTATGGTTGGACTGGAAATGGGACTTCCCGACGAGGGCTCGAAAAATAAAATAGATATTTAACTGATAACGGGCCACGGTTTTATTTTAATTTTATCTGAGAAAAATATCTGCTCAAACTTTGTGTTGATATGAAATTATTTTTATTTATTTTAAACATAAATATTGTGAGTAGAAAATTAGAGATTATTATTTTATTATCGCATAAAAATCTCCTGCACCTATAAATAGATAGGACAGCAATGAACAGGTTAAAAATAGATCTGGTGATAACTCTAAGTTAAGGATCTGAATTAACCTGTTCTAACTCAATTGGTAAAAATTTTGAGAGGATTTGAGAAGGAAAAAGGAATTTTTGAGCCACTTCGAGGTTGTTTTTAGTCGTCGGCCTAGCTCAAAAAGTTATCCAGATCAAGATAGGAAACTCTATCTATATCAATTTTCAAAAATACACAACTTTTTATCAAATTTTTTGATTAAATTTATATTTATGTTAGCAAAAAATATGAATAATTTTGCACTGGTAAAATTTTTTCCGCATAACTTTTTCTATGTTATAGAGATTAAGATTATGCACATTTTGAATATTTTTTAAGAAATTTACAATGGGGTTTTTGAAATTTGTGGAATTTTATTGAATAAAACATTATCTAGACTCTAAAAATAATATTATAGTACGATAAAAATATTAAAACATTATTTTATACAATCCCTGATAATTGGAGTATTTATTGAAAATATGATTTTTTGTTTAATAGGATTTTCTTCCTATCATTATAGAAAACTGTGCAATTTTGACAAACTTAATTACGCTTTAACTAATATTATGATGAAAAAAATGCATATGTAATTAAATTATATCAGCTATGAGAGATAAGAGGTCAAAATTCTTTGAGATTATACCAGTGTCAAGGGATCTTCTAATGTCTATAAGGAATGTTATGGTGGATATAAGCTATGTTTTGATATCTACAAGGATGTTCTAATAACATAACCATAAAAAGTGTAATAAGGGGTCAGAATTCGTCGAGATTTTGTCTCGTAGGAATTTCAAAAATCCAACCCAACTGGAACCTGACCCGAACTTGACCAAAAAATTTTCAGGTTCGAGTCGACCCGCTTGCCATACGGGTTAGGTTCGAGTTTGGGATTTCGACCCGTTTATAAAATCATGTTGGGCCATCCGAGTATGATTAGCCGACCATTTATAAAATCATGTTGGGCCATCCGAGTATGATTAGTTTATCATGTCGGATCAACCTAGTAACCCGGCAGGTCGAGTATGGGTTAAAATTCCTAGTTGATTTGCAAAACCAAGCGGGTTAGGGTCAACCCATTTGGACCCGGGTCAATTCGGGTTAGACCTGATCCGTTGACCTATTTTGACACCCCTACTGTGTAGGTTCGAGAAAAGAAATTAAAAACTAATATGAAATTATATGAACTATTGTATTATATGAATTTTAGTTTATTTAACAACTTTATTTTAATATTTAAATATTTGAATAAATGCTAAACTTTTATCACTGCCCACTAATTTATAATATTGCATTTAACTTCTTTTTAAATATTTTGCAAAATATTTAATAAAATAATTTTGAAATTTATATCGGTTTGTGTGGCCTATCAAGTTGTTGTAGCTCACTATATTTTGCTTTTGATTTTTAGGATCTGAGAAAGGGAAGTAGTTGATTAACAAACAGTCTTGAGTGATCAGAGTTTATAGGTATTTCTTTAATTAATTTTATGCAGTTATGATTAGTTTATCATGTAGTTTTATAGTTTTGTTTGTAATCATCTACTGTAGTGTAGATTCATTTTGATGAAATGAAAAAACTTTGAGGAAGAGAATTTATAGTATTCTAGATATTTTAGTTGTTATGCAGTTTGTTATTTATTTAAAATGAATATTGAAAAAAAAATGAAATATTTCAAAACTAGATCATGAGATTTGTCTGTCACAGCTTAAGACAGTAACAAAGATAAAGTTGTAAAACCTCGATATTTTGTGCCAAAAATATGCATCGACCTTATAGATGATAAGATGTGTTTACATTATTGATGATAATAGGTGATGAAGTCGGTGGGCATCGACATGCAATAAGGAATTTTTAAATTTTATCCATACTCTCCCACATCTCCTTTGAATGCAAGCTGTTATATGTCGATAATTTGCCCACAAAATGAGGAATCTCTCTCTCTTTTTTGGTCCTGCAGGAAAGGCTGGTTATTACAGAATCATCACACAATTCTTAGTTGTTCTCTGCTTTATTTTATAGTATGAAAGTTGTCTTCTCATAATAGTGGTGGGCATGGTGGCTATGTATTGTAAATTTTATAGTTCATGATTTGGTGTGTTAGTATTTACAACTAACTCTATTTTGGGGTTGTTGGATCGTAGAAGTTATAATGGACTTTTTTTCTAATTAATCGACAATCCTCCTCCTAATCATGGATTGATTTTCTCATTATGCTCTAATCTTTTGCCCATCACAGAGAGATATTTTAAGAAGTCGTCAAAATCTTGCTTACCAATATCTATAGAAGATTTCAAAAAAAATGATATGAACAAAATAAAAAGAAGTCAAATACATATTAAATCATAAAAAAACTTAGAAATAGATTTACAAATTCTTTAATCATATCTTGGATTACATATACGTACCTATATGTGAATTTAGCAATAATATTCAAGATCAAGTTAGAAGATCATATTTGCAAAAAAGATAATGTCATCCTCACAATCATGACTTTCCTAAAAGTAAATTCGGGGTAAAAATAGATGTTTGAATCTGAGTTGGTTCGATATATACTCTGATTGGTTGGATTATAGTATGATAAAGCATAATGCTTGTATTGCTATTTTTTTGGAATACAAGGAAGAGGAAAATAAGATGACGAGGCATTTAACAAAAATGATTTTTCAAATTGATTTTTTTTTATATAGATTTAATCTTTATTTTGGAGGCTCTAATAGTGCTCATAATAATACATGATGAAATTATGAGGGTTTAATGAAACATACCTGACATATTAGCTTTTCCTTCTAGATGAAGTCCGATCGAGCTACAAATACATATCGTGCCCATCTAAATATATATGTTGATTGTGTGAAGTTCCTCTTGAGACATGGATTAGTTTTTTGAGAACATGATGAGAGTTTTAAATCTTGAAATCAATGAATTTTTCTTGAGTCATTGTAATTTTTGGCTAAAAAATAATGAAGATATAAATAATGTGGTGCTAAACAATGCTCTTGAGAACTTAAAGCTAATTGCACCTAAGTTTTGGAAAGATATTACTAGAGCTGTCTCAATTGCATTAACATATTACATAAAATAGGAAGTTGGTGATAATTTCTTCTCTATTTTGATTGATGAATCTAATGACATATCAGGAAAAGAATAAATGGCCAACGTGATTTGATCTGTGAATGGGAAAGGTCATTATTGAAAGCTTATTAGGCATTATACATGTTCCAGAAACATCAGTTAGATACCTCAAAATAGTAATGGAGCTAGTCCTCCCAAGCTATGGGTTGTGTAATTCAAAATTTTGTGTTAAAGATTATGATAGAGCAAGCAATATGAGGAGAATTTAATGGGCTTAAAGCACTTTTTTGCATGAAAATAAACCAGCATATTATATTTTATGCTTCTCATACTAGCTTCAATTAGCCTTAGTAGCAATTGCGAAAAATCATATTCAAATTGTCTTGTTGTTTATCATAATTTCAAATGGTATGAATATTATTGATTTTTCATACAAACGTCGTGATCATCTTAGAGAGAAACAATGAGAGAAGACTTCAACTGCATTACAGAATGGTGAGGTATTTACTGGACAATGTTTAAATCAATAAATATCTTTGAGACATGCTGGCAAAACAATATGTAGTTCTCAGTATGAGTCAGTAGTTAGATTGATCATAACATTCTCCTCAATTATATATGTAATAAAAATTGTTTTGGATGTCAGCATAAGCTATGAATATGTTGAGTAAAAAAAAATGAATAGATACGAAGCAATTCACGCTCTTAATCCGGCCCCACCTCACCAAACGACATCGCTTTTCATCTTCATAACAGTCATTTGACGAATCATGCGATAAAAAGGAGGGGAGAATCGAAGATAGCAACTTACACTCTATATGTTCGACTCCGACTCCATCGTTTGCTTCGGCTTCGTTGCTTCACAGAGATCGCACAAGTTGCTTTCCCTTTTCATCATCGCTGTTCAGCTTCAGTTCGCAGAGATCGCCCACGTTGCTTCTGCGACTCCCTTGCTGCCGTCCGACTTCGCCACTTTGTGGGAGGGGAGAGAGCGCAAGGTCGCTTCTTCGGCTCTCTCCTTGCTATTTGAGTTTGCTTCTTCGACTCCCCTGGTTGTCCGACTTCGCTCTTCGCAAGAGGTCTAGAGATCGCAAGTGTAGCTTCTTTGGCTCATCCGTGGTTGTCCGACTTCACTCCTTCGAAGACTTTTTCTTGTGTGTGCATGGTTGCTCTTACTCTTATGTATTTTGTGGCCATACTGAATAAAATAAATAGAAAAATACAATGTCTGACTCATACTCCTAATCTACCCGTTCTTGAGTCTTCCTTTCGTCCTGAGTCACTTGTGATCTTCCTGAAATGTTAGTACTCAAGGACAATAACAAATAAAATAATATTCAATGAAAAGTTGTTCCAAAACACTCATTATTTGGCATCATCAAAATCTCAAACTCGGGGTCATGGGTTGCAACACAGTGTTACATACCGATTTCCAAAACCCAGAAGCAAAGCTAGGAGTTGGCCTCCAAGGTGACTTGTATTTGTAAATGAGCCATTCAGAAAAAGGAGATACAGTATTATACATTCTTAGGATGACGGAGCAATTGTAAGCATATTGAAGAGCCTGTATTGATGGAATGCCTAATCCCCCTAATTCTTTGGGTTTACAAACTTCATCCCAAGAAATCATGTGTAATTTTTTCCCCACATCTAATTCTCCAAAAAATAGAAATTTGGAGCAGATTTTCTTGAAGAATTTGGT